TAGAGTGCGCGCCCATGCGCGCCCAAGCTTGGCATTGCAGTTAGAGTGCGCACCCATGCGCGCCCAAGCTTGGTATTGCAGTTAGAGTGCGCGCCCATGCGCGCCCAAGCTTGACATTGCAGTTAGAGTGCGCGCCCATGCACGCCCTAGCTCGGCATAGCAGTTAGAGTGAGCGCCCATGCGCGCCCAGGCTTGACATCGCTGTTAGAGTGCGTGCCCGTATGCGCCCAAGTTGGATATAGTTATTTGAGTGCGCGCCCATGTGCACTTGCGCTGTATGTGTGCGCCTAGGCTGGTTATTGACGTTTGAGTGCGAGCCCTTGTGCGCCCAAGCATAGGATTGCTAGTTGAGATGATTTGCCATCACGCTCCCGTTGATTTATTCCTTTGCTGATCAGCAACACCTCATGCACATGATATTTTCCCTCGCACGGGTAGCATTGGCAGATCAGTCCCTGCACAGATGACCTGGCTCAGTCTAGCCCCAGTACATTCAGCATTTGTGACTGGTCCCTGTGCATGAGATGTTCTACTGATCAGTTGCTGTCCAACCGGGCCCTTCAGGCGGGCCTACTTGAGATTGTTGTTGTTCAGTCGGGCCCTTCAGGCGGGCCTACTTGAGATTGTTGCTGTTCAGCCGGGCCCTTCAGGCGGGCTTACTTGAGACTGTTGCTGTTCAGCCGGGCCCTTCAGGCGGGCCTACCTGAGATTATTGCTGTTTAGCTGGGCCCCTTCAGGCGGGCCCACCTCTCGAGATTGTTGCAGTTTTCAGCCAGGCCCTTCAAGCGGCCCCTTTTCTCTGAGATAGTTGTTGTTCAGCCGGGCCCATTCAGGCGGGCCTTATATTGGGTTGCTGTTCAGCCAGGCCCATTCAGGCGGGCCCTATATCGAGTTGCAGTCAGGCCGTTCAGACAGGCCTCCACATTGAGTTGCTGATTATTCGGCCAGGTCTTGGAGACAGTACCCGTACTAGAGAGGGTGTGCTTTCTGTCCAAGCTGGCCCGTCGTCGTGAGACTACCCCTAAGTGGGGTAGGTTGATTGAGAGGTTCTGCTACAGACATGTGGGACATCAGAGTTTCACTATCAGGGCTAATGAGTCCTCGACTTCGAGACACACGCTCGTGATCACCTACTTGGTGAAGGGGGCAGAGATGGGAGTGAAGGGCACTACATACGACAGGATTGCGGATTACATATTTTGCAGGGAGAGCTATTGGAGGGACAACTGGCTGCACGTGGTGTTTCCTCGCATACCTTCAGCTCCTAGGGGTGTGCTCTTTGATTTTGACGGATGCAACCCCAAGCCCCTTAGTGAGCCCCGCAGCAAGGAGAAGAGGCGGAAGGACGACCGGATCCAGAGAGAGATAACCAGATCCGGAGTTCCAATCACTACATGTGTCCCGAAATCAGAGATAGATGAGTTGGATTTGGAGCCCTGCTCTGTGAGTGACCTTGATCTTGGCGATTATTTCGACACGGATACTCACAGGAGTTGAGTTTGTGGACAGCGACAGGAGCGCTGGAGACCAGTGTGCGGAGACGTCGGAGGGCGACATTGAGGAGGATCGCACATCTTCTTGCACGGTATCTTCTTGAGGGTGATTGACTCCTACATGTCAGACGACCCTAGGTCAAAGACAGTTATTGGTCCCCCAAGAGGGGAAGGTCCGGTCCCATACCTCGGAGATGGCTATAGTCATTTGGTTGGGATAGACTTTGCTATGCAGGCTTATCGAAAGCCTCTTTATGGAGATTGCTTTCTCGAGGTTTCCTACATTTACTCTGGTGGGAGAGGACGTATTGAGATATTGATTGGAGCTTCAGGCGATATCATTCTTGCGGAGGAGTTTTATCTCAGGAGCGTCGCAGACGAGGAGATGGCTAGATGCATGGCCTACATCTACAAGATTGATCCAGCAGCGCCTCTCGACATCAGCTACGTGGTTCCAGAGTCGATAGCCACGCGAGTTCTCAATGACGAGGAGTCCCAGATGACAGGACTTACTCACAAGGGGGTACCGCTTATTATCATTGATTGAGGTCCTCTCTTTTCAGTCACTATGATGTATTACAACATTATTATTTATTAGTGACTGCAGCCCTCCAATGGCTGCTCCCTGCATACTCTGTGTACTACTCTTCAATCTCGTTTCTCTGGTCATGCTCTTGCAGAGTCTGGTTTCTAGTCTTCTCATATTGTGAGTGTCAAGTGCTCTATGATGTATGATGCATGTTGTTATTTTCCTCCTTATTTTATACAGGTTACACTCAAGGCAGCTTGAAGGACTCCTGAATGATAGGGACTCCGATGACCTTGGGTCTATCCTTTATAGGGGGTCAGGTGCAGGCGATAAACCCGAACGCCTCACTCTAAGTCGTGTCGCCGCTGGCAGGAGGGATAACCCTGACTACTCGGCTATATGACGAAGTGTGACTGCCTCTGAACACACCTCGACTTTTATACCTATCAAAATCTTGCGTGACAGCCTGCCTGTCCTCCAACCCACTGAGCTCGGTCCGGAGAAGGATATCTAACGCAACCCTTGGAGTTGTGGGGGCGCGACACCGTTGCCCCTGAAATTGCTCAAAATTAAAAGAAAATGAAGCGGTCAATTTTCAATTGCATCTGGGCTCAATGTTGGATCTGGATGCACCTAAAACATGTGTTTTCTCCTCCCCTTGTAATCCGTTGTATCTCGGTTGCAAAGGGCCTTGATTTTTCTTAATTTTCTTTGCAAATCAAGAGAAAATCAAGATACTTTGTAATCGACACATGTCAGAATGAATCTGGTCATGGATGCATCTCCCTAAGTGACCATTTTTTACCGTTAAACCACCAGTACCTCCGAGCCTGTTTTTGCCGACCCTGATTTTCACTGCGCTCCGAGTTTTGCCGAGCCTGGGTTCCACTCCATTTCTTTATGGTACTCTCACGGGAAGACCAAAAAAAAAAAAAAAAAAAAAGAAAGTTGCGGCCGTGAAAACTCACATAACAAGCAATCGAAACAAAGTTCTGGGCGTGATTGCAATTGTATACATTCTCGGAATTGTTAGTGTGAGTGTGCCCTCAGTGAGGGCATCTCAGCCCCGTGGTCAGGTTGTCAGATTCCAGAAACTCAAAAGAATTAAAAAAAGATAGGAACACGGATTCGGCCGTGAAAATGGCAAGATACATTCCCGTAAGTGCCAGTGTGATTAGGGTTACAATCCTCTGAGGGAACACAGCTCGAGAAGATCACAGATTTAGATTGTCAGATTCCAAAAAAAGAAAACAAGAGGAAAAAAACGGAAACACGGATTCGGCCTTGAAAACGGCTGGATACATCAGGGTTACAATCATCTGAGGAAACACAGCTAGAGTAGATCAGGGATTCCGCCCTGCCTCGTTGGCAGGGGACACATAACAAACAAAAGAGAAATAAAAAAAAGAAAACAACAAGTTTCAAAATGTGACCATCTTTGTTGTAAGATGCATTAAAGACTGTGAACACGGCCTCCTAAACTACCCTGCCCGACATCATTGCAGTACAAAGGCCTTTTTTTTTTTCCTTTTCTTTTCGTGCGCGGGCAAAATAAAACTACGATTTTTGGGATATTGCCGACCCTGTGTCCGACCCCCAAAACCTTCGGGTACTGGCCAGGACAACGTAATTTCCCAACACTGGCGGAGGTACTGGTGGTTTAAGTTTTTTTTTTTTTTTTTTTTTTTCTCTTATACACATCTAGATGTGTATAAGAGACAGGTAGGCACCTGCCAGTCCCTACTTGTGGCAGTCCCTACTGACGGCCAACTCACTCACTCCCTCTTACTCTTTTTGTCTTATTCTCCCAACATTTTTCTTTTCTTTTCTTTCTTTTTTTAGCATGTCAAGTGTCAACTGGCCGTTAAGGCCCTTTTGTAGGCCCTTCCTCTTAGTTTTTACCCTCCCTATGCCCATGGTGCAGTTCGTTATATCTTGGACTGCAATAATGTCCTCCTCATGCCCATGGGAGCTTCCTTTTACCTCTATTTCTCTCACACAGTAGCCCCTCCTCAAATTTTCTCCCGGAGGCCTATTTTTCACATGGAGCCTCTTTTGGCTCCATTTTCTTGGGGCAGGCCAATCCGAGATTTTTCGGATTGCTCCTATGCCTCTATCTTCATGATTCTTTGCTTTTCTTTTCCCTTTGGTCTTCCCGTTTGCTCCCACTAGTGCTTGCACTAGTGGTGCTAATATTCTTGGCCGTCAAGGTCTTTGATCTTGATTGTGCACCCTGCTTTAGTTGTTTTCCCCTCATGCCGCTCCGCAGTTCCTCTAGAGACCTTCTCATGTCCCACTTGTCCCGCCGGTGGTCCCCGACACTTTGTCCCGTCGGTGGTCCCTGACACTTTGTTCTTTGGTGGTCCTCGACACTTTGTCCTGCTGGTGGTCCTCGACACTTTGTCCCGTCGGTGGTCCCCGACACTTTGTCCCGGATACCATTATTTTTACCTAGTCTCATGTGGTCCCCGACACTTTCCCCCATGGTGTCCTGGGTTCTCTTGACATTTTTCCATCCCACGGCGGTCTCATTCCCTTCGCCTTTCTCATATCCCGCGCGCACCGATCTTTTCGGTCGCGGCCCTTTACTTGGCTCATGGCCCTTTGGCCCTTCCGATGCCGCATCCCGGTGGCCCTCTTGGCCCAGGCTGCGCTCTCACGCGTTGGTGCCTCACTTATTACCTTCTCATCCTCGATTATTTTCTTCCTGAGGTACGCATCCCTTCTCTTCCTGAGGGCATTACTTTTCCCGACGGTCCTTCTCTTTCGGGGGGAAGGGCCGCCTTCGCTATTTTCTTGCGGCCCTTTGCCGCTTGCTGTTCCGCTAGTTTTTTCTTGGTCCACTGGTTCCGGCGACCTAGGGTAACCTCTAGGTCCCTAGGTGCCGACACTTATGCTTTTAGCCTTTCTACCCCTCTTGCCTCCGGTTTTCTCTGTCGTGCACAATTTCGCCATATTACCGCTTCTCAAGGGTCAGGACTTATCTTGGGACCCACCGGTCCCGACAACGGTGCCGATGCTTTTTTTAAGGTGAGTGTGGGGAGGTGTTGCTCGATCAACGGTGCGACAACGTCAGCGTATCCAATGGGATCATGCTGTTGAAATTGGCGGCCGCGTCGACATTTTTTTGCGTAGGGAACTGTTGTCTGGTTGACGGCACGTCGACGACTCTTTTTTTGAGGGGCAGTGTGCCAAAGTTTTGTGGCTTGGTGAATCAGTCATTTGGAGGTGTGATCAGGCAGTGGTGCCGCACGACAGCCGTGGTACCGGCTTTGACATGTGGTTTCCAATGTCTTTCCTTGTGGTGTGCAACGGTTATGGTGGATTCCAATGTGGCTTGGAGGTTGGGCTGGAGCTGGTGCACGATTGGATCTGTGCGACAGTGGTGTGTGGACCGACAACATGAAGGGAGCGTGGAGTGAGTGCGCGCGGCAGTAGTTATTGGGGCTCGCGGCGCATGTGGTTTTCAGCCAGGGCCACCTTTATTTTTATTTGCGGTGTGCAGAGCGAGCGGTAATGGTGTTTGGGACCATCTGGTGCTGCGTCGGTAACGTGGGATTGCCTAGGGCTCGTTTTGAGACCAGGTGGGATTGATTTTGAGATTGGGACCGGCTTGTTGGTGTGGTTATTGTGAGCAGACGTGGTGATTGGAGGCGGCGTGGACTTGTGGTTGGTTGGGAGTATCCTTGGTGCCAAAAGTGCAGTGGGGACTGTGTTGGAACAGCCCGGAACATTGGGACCGGTCTAAGCATGGATCAGTTTGGGACATTGGGACCACGTAAAAACTCATTTGTGGGAACATCCTCCTGGAGGGCTATGTCGCTGGAGTTTTTTTTGTGGCCCAACCTTTGCTCATTCGGATACTTGGTGGAATACACAGACTGTGGCTCAGGAGAAAGGCCACAACTTGTGGAGTTGTGAGCCGCATATTTTCATGTGAGCCGCATATTTTCATATCCAACGGCGATCATTTTCTTTTGATTGGGATATTGCGCGGCTTTTTTGAGTGAGCCAATCCAAACTTCCTTCAAGGTCAGGTGATTGACTCAGATTTCCCTTCACACCTGTGTGAACCCACACTTTGCTTGACCCTCTTCATTTTGACTGTTCGAAAGAAAAGGCAAAGGGAAGTTGTGCGAGTCATATGAATGGAAATGTTTGACTGGGGATATGGGTTTTTGCTTGTTTTCCCAAACTTGTTTGCTTCGGATTGGTATGCTGGTAGGTAGAAGGATGCTTCTAAAGGAGATTGATTATGCCTACTTGAAATGAAGAAAAAGATTGTCTTCTTCTTACTTCTCACCTACTTGCATGTCAAAAAGGATTCGTTGTTTTGAAAAACATTAATTCTGTGTGCATCGTAGAACGAATTTGATCCAAATAAAGCAGATAAGGTTAACATGGGCTTAGCCTTTTTCCTGAGGTTGACCGTTCTATCCCGAATGACCTTATCTTCCTATACCTGTCAAAATGGTTCTCATTCTTTATCTCCTCCGACTTTCTTCGTCTAAGTTACCCTGAACTTAGGAGAAATGAGCATAACTGAAAGTTACTTGCAGTGGACACATTCTCTTTCTCTAGGGAGCATCTGGGGCGGGGGTTCGTTGCTTTAGGAGCCGGCCCTATTATCGACCCAGAGTGGATCGTTCTACGGGGGGGTACTTTGCCGATTCAGTGGAGACGGCCCGACTTCTGACATCCGAGTCTTGTGCTTGGGCAAGGAGGAGGAGTACCCCAGATCACTTCCTAGAGGTTGAGACATGTAACACTTCAAGTAAACCTAATCAAGAATCATCCGCAAAGCAGCCTGTCATCCAAGAAGATTGGGAAAGTATGGAAACGGTTGTGTGCGAGCCTAATCTTAGGTCAGCGGTAGGGTGGAATGAATGACTTTGGCAGCGCGTCTCATCAAGTCAAAACTGAGGCTGTT